CAGTCCATTGTCACAGTCAGTGACATATTAAGACTTCCCGTCGTAACTGCCAGCTAAAAATCGATTCCATGAAAAGATTTTATTACCAGATATTGTTTTCAAAAGTTTTCCGTTTAAGTCGTACTTAAATATATTTCTATTTCTGCCGTCAGTGACATATAAACAAGACGAAATCATACAAACGCCCAAACACATATGATTCATTCTTAATTTTTGAGCAAGTACAATAAGGTTCTCTTTAGTAGAAACAAATTGTATAACTTGACTGTTTAAACAAACTACTGCCTCATCAATCCGACCTTTACATACTCCTGACGGTTGATCTTGAACCTTTAGCGCGTCTTTCAAGTTATACGATTCACCATCTATCAGTTTTAATGCTTTGTTCTTAAAGTCTGTTACTAGAATATCACCAGAATCAAGTATACACATTGATCGAATCTCACATGATCCCTCGTCTGTTGATAGTTTTATATCAAATGTGTCTGAACTTTTTAATTCATACAATGTTTTCTTTGGCTTGATTTGCTGAGCAGTTTGTTGCACACTCTGATCTAGGGAATGAAATGTATTTATGTCATCGAAAAGTTCTGTGTTTCCATTAAATGGTATAAACATTGACTCATGGATCGTAGATCGTTCTAGAAGACTTTCCGAATTTACAATATCGCCTTTGCATTTTTTATCAACTACAAACTGCTGCGATACATTCGTCACAGATGATTCTAACGACGTTTTACTTCTTTTCAATACATCAAGCATTCTTTGAATATCTGCCATTTCATTTTCGCACGTTAGATCTAAATCTTTATACTGCTTGTTAATATTCTGAATTGATGCTTGCTCTAATCGATCTAAAGTTTTGTTGATTTTTTTTCTGAATTCTTGGATATCTTTCAAGGAAGAAACTCTTTTCGTGTCAAATTCACCCCTTGTATAATTGTACCGTTTCATGAGACCTTCAAGCTTTACAATAGTGGCGTTTACTTGACTTTTTAAACTCGACGTCTGCAAAGATGGCTTCAGTTCCTGGACAAATGTAGGTACGTAATGTACATCTTGACAAATCCTGGAGGAATAAACGACAACACTTATTTTAAATAAAAACGAAAATACTTAGTTCGATGTTTTTATGTTGTTTTCTTTTCTTCTCAAAAGTACAAACTAGAGAAAAATAGTTATATCTGTCTCGTAAATATAGATGTTTTAAACTGTCTGCGCCGCCTTGGTCAAATGAAAGGGACTTTGAGAAACTATTTTGAATTTGTCAGGAGTATAAAATATATTTTGGCCCTAATTTCTAAACAATTGCCAGTTTAATTCGTACATACTTTTCTTAGAATTGCCAAATTTAAAACATCAGTTGTAAGATGTGAATTTACAAAATGGTTAAGGACATAATAAATTATGTTGTTCAAACAAATTGTCAGTAAAGGTGTACGTACAACAGACAAATTATTTTTACCAGAAGCTCACCATGAAATGTTTAGAAACACGCGAATCGAGTTTCAATAACATGTATACAAATTTTAATGTAAGCGGACAACTTTCACATAGCGGTGAATTTATTGGTATTATAAATGGCGACACCAGACGTTAAAATATTTAGCTAGTTTGTCGTGTATCAAGCTGCCCTACTTGCTATATACATGTTAACGGGTTTGATATAATAGGGGTGTTTATATATCCGTGTTAAGTGAAAAATTTCAACCGTTAGGTGGTCACAGTTATCTCATGGAAATTGCAAGTTTTATTTCTAACTATAAAAAAATATGTTGATATTTTTAGACCCATTATAGATAAAAATAGGACAATAAAGTTAGTATCAAGGCATAGAATTATATAAGCATATAAATAAGAAATTCATTGTTACGAACGGGTGGGTGTTGCAAAATACACACTAGTAACAAGTTTACTGGGCCGCTATAAAAACGTTAATTTAAACATACCTGTGGTCGATATTTAAACATATAGAACAGCCAACAGCGTCGTGGTTTGCGCAGTACATGTCCACTAATTTCGTTAAATGCACACTGCATCTCTCTGTCGGCAACGGAGGTGCGTTCGGTGCAGCTGATCCCCCCAGAGATCCAAACTGTGATTTATCTAGTAAGGAGTGTCCTTCTAAAACAGAAAAACTGTTGTGGTTATCCACACATAGAGGACAAAAGAACTCCTGACATTCCACACAAAATTTAACAGCTTCGTTTGTTTTATTTCTCTTCGTACATGGAGAACAAGCGTAGTCAATAACTTCATCGGAAGCATTAATCTTTGAACGGGTTAAACGTCCTCCAGTCGCCATTTTCTTTTCTGTCCTACTTTAGAGATGTACTATTCTCCGGTCTCCTATCGGTAAATCCCGGTCTCTCCCGGTCTATTTTGCCGGGTTTTACTAGAGACCGGCAATTAGTATCACACGTTTATTGTCCGGTCTCTCCTGGTTTAGGAGTAGATATTTTATTTGATATCGTAACAAATAAATAAGTTTTTTTTCTCTCCAAAATTGAATGTTTGTCACTAAGTTTGGTTACAAAAATTGATTAACACAGATCATTTCTCATAAATTTATTTATTAGATCTATTATTATTATAACTATACATAATGATAAACGTTCAATTCTAAAAATAATAATAACATTTTCATTTGATTTATGTATGATACAAACAATAAATACATACAATCATTGAATAAAAAGGTACATTTTTATGGTATTGATGAATCATTTTATTTAATTTGCTATTCGCGTTTAGTTAAGAGATTCTAAGTTAAATTTAAAGTAGATTTTATGAATTATTTAATTGATTGATAGTTTTTTAAAATAATAATAAATAAATGGTTTAAGAATAATGAATAAAATGTATTGAAAGATTAATCATAATTTACTTACTTTTTCCAGTTAATTTTAGACTTCGCTAATAGCGATCACATAATAAGGGACAATAAACAAGTGTGGTGTTGATCATGTGTTACACAAGTAGACTATAAATGATTGTATATGTCCGTTGCCATTGATAATTATACGATATTACATTGATGAACATAGAAAAAACTAACAATTATAAGTATAAATTAAAATGTTATAATTTAAAAGAGAAGACTGTTGCACATATTTTTCTGGCAAAATCGGCATGAAATATCGTCAATCATTTATCATTTTTAAAACAACACAGAATACATCAACATTATGAACAAAAAACAATTGTAAATAATGACATACATATATTATACACATATAACATTATAAATGTATTTTATCATTTACGAAATGTAAAAAAACGCAATGTAACATAAATGATAATGTTTTATTAATATAACGAAATATTTAATTACAAAACAATACAATGCAAAACAACAACAAAAACCAAGAGCATCAAAGTCAATTAATTAATATATAACCATTTAATTGTTTAATTCTTTTATTTGAAATTTTAATCTTTTAAGATATTGCCATCATTTGCTATATACTTTCTATTTACAGGTCGGATTATTTTTTTCTTTGATCTATATTAGTCGTTATAATATTAATGCTGCACTTATTAATTAAATAATGAAAAAAAATACAAACCGCTTTAAAATTTACCAATTAACAGACGCCCCCGTAATAAATATGCCTTTTCATTTATAACATTTATGCTCACATGAAATAATCAATATATTTTCTCGTAATTAATACGCTTTTACATTTACTGATACTATTCGCCGGTCTCTCGTAAATTCCGGTCAAAATAGACCGGGAGAGACCGGAGACCGGAAGCGACCGGACCGGAGAATAGTACATCCCCCTGCTGAAGTGACTTCTCTTTGATAACGTCATACTTCTATAAACACAGCGTATCAAATATCAAGTACATGAAAAGGTAAATGATAATAGATTAAAAACAACTAGTCTATTGGTTGATTTCTACACGAAGATATAATACTATAGTGTGCGTTTTAATGTAAGCAAATACCTTTAAAATAGCGGTGAATATATATGTATATAGCAGCGCTCCTTAGCTTTCCTTCACATGTACATGTATGTCTTGTGTATTGTACGTATGTCTTGATGTTCGTGAAGTTAGCCGGACAGCCGGAACAGCCGGAGCAGCCGGAACTCATTTCGTCTACTCGGGCTACTCCGGCTAGCCGGAATCCGGTTCCGGCTATACAGGCTGGCCGGAAATTATACGGTAAAAACTGTGCAAAAGACCATTGGCTAATTCCATAATGAAATGTCAAATTACTTATCACAACAATCTCCGGCTATTACGGCTAGCCAGAAAAAAAAAACAGAAATCAAGGCTACATAAGATGAAAAAAATTTATCTGACAGCAGATTGAACAATATAATTATGTGTCGTGCATTGTGTGTCCGGGTGTCCGCGGGTATAGGTGTGTCCGTCGGGAATACTCTGGTATTTTGCCGACGGTGAGCCGAAAATCGTTCTAGACAGCTCGTATCTGGCCAATTCCGGCTGGCCCCTGTGGGGACCAGACTCAATTACGCAGAACCGCACATGGTGGGATGGTTAGGGGGTCTGACCGGGTGTCCGCGGGTATAGATGTGTCCGTCGGGAATACTCTGGTATTTTGCCGACGGTGAGCCGAAAATCGTTCTAGACAGCTCGTATCTGGCCAATTCCGGCTGGCCCCTGTGGGGACCAGACTCAATTACGCAGAACCGCACATGGTGGGATGGTTAGGTGGTCTGACCTGGTGTCCGCGGATATAGGTGTGTCCGTCGGGAATACTCTGGTATTTTGCCGACGGTGAGCCGAAAATCGTTCTAGACAGCTCGTATCTGGCCAATTCCGGCTGGCCCCTGTGGGGACCAGACTCAATTACGCAGAACCGCACATGGTGGGATGGTTAGGTGGTCTGACCGGGTGTCCGCGGGTATAGGTGTGTCCGTCGGGAATACTCTGGTATTTTGCCGACGGTGAGCCGAAAATCGTTCTAGACAGCTCGTATCTGGCCAATTCCGGCTGGCCCCTGTGGGACCAGACTCAATTACGCAGAACCGCACATGGTGGGATGGTTAGGTGGTCTGACCGGGTGTCCGCGGGTATAGGTGTGTCCGTCGGGAATACTCTGGTATTTTTGCCGACGGTGAGCCGAAAATCGTTCTAGACAGCTCGTATCTGGCCAATTCCGGCTGGCCCCTGTGGGGACCAGACTCAATTACGCAGAACCGCACATGGTGGGATGGTTAGGTGGTTGACCGGGTGTCCGCGGGTATAGGTGTGTCCGTCGGGAATACTCTGGTATTTTGCCGACGGTGAGCCGAAAATCGTTCTAGACAGCTCGTATCTGGCCAATTCCGGCTGGCCCCTGTGGGGACCAGACTCAATTACGCAGGTCCGCACATGGTGGGATGGTTAGGTGGTCTGACCGGGTGTCCGCGGGTATAGGTGTGTCCGTCGGGAATACTCTGGTATTTTGCCGACGGTGAGCCGAAAATCGTTCTAGACAGCTCGTATCTGGCCAATTCCGGCTGGCCCCTGTGGGGACCAGACTCAATTACGCAGAACCGCACATGGTGGGATGGTTAGGTGGTCTGACCGGGTGTCCGCGGGTATAGGTGTGTCCGTCGGGAATACTCTGGTATTTTGCCGACGGTGAGCCGAAAATCGTTCTAGACCGCTCTTATCGAACTCTTACCCATATTACTGCAAATCGGCTCTTAAAACTTGATATCAGATAAAAATATAGAAAGTGTCACCTCTTTAATTAAGCATAACATTGTTTTTCCCCAGCAGTCACGTACAAACAAGGATGAGATCCAATTACTTAATCTGGCAATTAAAAAAAAGTTCAACAATACCTAGGATTGTGAATGCAATTCATTCCTGTCATATGAAACAAAATAATGTTTTGCTTACTTTTTCTAGAAAATATAAACAGTCAGCAATTAATAATTGACATTTTTCTTAGATAAAAGGATATCAAAAAGTTACTCTGTACTCATTTGTCTCTGCGAGCTGAGCTCCATGTTTATTAGCTATGTAATTAATTGAATGTATCCTCACATTGCTACAGTGTTATCCGCCTTTTTAGAAACACCTGACCTGACTTATTAAGATATGCCAATCACAATTTTCACTATCAGCACTGGCCTCATGGAAAAAGCGGTTACACAGTCCTACGCATAAACCCAAGATTTCCAGTTTTCCCCAAAAATTTCCTATCTCTGACCAGTGATGAGCATTTAATTATAATTACATGGCTTGTCACTGTATTACTGATAGCAGCACCCTTGAATGTTTTATGACCCTATCATGTTTCAAGAATGTAGGGGGATATAGAGAATATTTTAGAAATAAGGAAAACTATTTTCATAGGCTACAATTTTTTATAAGAGTTAAAGACAAAAAAAGATTAGATTACATTTAAAAAAGTTTTTAATCACTTACAACTCGCAATGAAAATACTTGTGTAAATTAATTTCATATTAAAGGCATATCATGCCTCAGTGATTTATATTATTTTCCTTTTTTGAGAGGAGGCAAAATAATGTTTAGAAATACTATTAAATGGATTCAAAGCATTGTTTATGCTTATCATTCAGTTTGTAACAAAGAAAGAAATGTAAAAAAAGGTCGAAAAATATATACAAAGAAGTATTTTAAATTTCAATACAAAATCACTTTAACTATATACCAATTGCCAAAGAACAGAAAAGAAAGATAAATTTGATGACCTTTAAGTTATTTTAAGGAAACCATAACTGGACAAACAACATGCTGGACTATTTAAATGCTGGACACAGGAAAGGAAAAAAAACTGTGACAAAAATCAGTTATGATAAGATACAGATATATTTCTGTATCGGTTAATATAGAATTGTTTGAAATCTGAATTAAATAAGAAAAATTCTGAGTATAAAGGGATGATTCTGAAGATACTGATGCTAGAGTTATGAAGCTTGTTATGTTATTGTTTAAAGTTAGAAGTAAATTCTTTCATAAATAGAGAAGTTAGAGCAAAAAATATCAGTTTTTGTAAACAAAATCAAGTTCAAGGGGAAATAATTCTGGAAATATTCATGCTAGAGTTATGAATCTTGTCACACATGATAAGGAGTTAGAGGTAGATACCTTAAGAAATAAAGAAGTAAGTAAACAAAAATAATTTTTGAGGAAAAAAATGTATGTTCATTCGATTATTCTGGAAAAATTGGTGCTAGATTTATAAACATTGTCACATATGATGTAGTTGATGATGAGAAACACATGTTTGAAGTCCTTAATTTGAAATAAAGACGTTAGAGTAAAAAATATTATTTTAAGCAAAATTATAGGTTCAAGGGGATATTATTCTGGAAATACTAGTTTAAGATTT